CTGAGGTGAGAACCAAACATCTGGACAGGCCACAGCACTGAAACCCTGTAAGGAACAGTTCTTTGGAAATATTTCCATGAGCCTAGAGGTAAATGTTTGTCTCTAAGTGATGTCAGGCTGGTCCCTGACATGAACACAACCTTGTTTATAAATGCTCCAGAAGGATGTTGCAAAGTGCTTCAGTGTCTTGCTTAAAGCATTTGTAAGAACTGATTATAAAGACTTGCAAAATCACAAGTGAAAGAAGGCAGAAGGGTTTTTTCGTAGAAAAGATATAGTTGATGAAAACCCCAGATCTGAAGTGTGGATTTGGTTTGCAGCTCACTGCAAGCTGCTCTGTCTTCAGGAAGAAGTGGCCCCCAGCTGACAGAGGGGAAAACCAAATACTTACCTGGGATGGGAGAAAATCGAATGGGGATCAGAATAACGCAGCTGAGTGTAGCAGATGGGTTGGAGCACTGTACCTGTCTGTGCCCCTGAGTACAGGGCTTAGCAAAGCCTTGCTGAGAAGCCTGCAGCCGTGGGCTTTCTCCATCTGCCTTTCATATTGCTGCTCTTAATTTGTTTTTAATAAATCAAGTGAAATCTTGCAGGGGAAGGAATTAGTCTAGCAGGGGTCCCTTTCTGTTTTAAAGAGTTGACAGTGAGGAGGTTTGGGGCTGCTTTTCTACTGGAGCATCCTCAAAGCCTGCAGTGTTTTAATTTGCTCCTGGACAATCTGGGTTTTGGCAGAACACGTGCGTGTGCCTAGACCCCCCAGGCCATGCATGCTCAGCCTGCGGGACCAGGAGGTGGAAGGCCTGTAAGACAGGTGATACAGGAGCTTTCAGCTGGCCACTGCCCACCCACCCTTCCCTCGAGGAGCTCCCTGTGGGGGCTATGTCCCTGGTGAGGCATGTAGGGCAAGCTGCCCCTCTGCACCCTATAGCCTGGAGGAAAACACTTCCACTTTCCATGGATTTTCTAATTTCGTCTCAGCATGGCTATTCGTAGGCAATCTGGAGGTAAAATTAACTTGTACCACAATTCTTTTTACATTTCACCATACTGCTTCAGTGGCAAGCACCCCTTTTTTAAAAAAAATTTCCTTCTGGGGATGGGAAAGTACAGGTATCAGTTGTTAGTAATTTAGAGAGAAAAAAATTCTTGTATCAATGCTTAAAAAGTAATGTAAATAAATATAAAACACTCTGTAGAAGGCCACAGCAGTTTTGCACACAATGATGTACATCCCAGGGGGAAGGAAGAATCTTTCCAGCAAAGCCTGGCAGTTCATGGCTGTTCCAGCCATGGAATCTAGGGAATTTCATTTCCAATCTAGGGAAAGGTTGACATGAAAACACATACACCCTTTTGAGATGTTGCATATGAAAACTCTCAGACATTAATTTTCTTTTCAGAAAAAGAGAAAAGCAAACTTTATTTCTGGTCTAAATTTTCACAAAACTCCATTTCTATATATACTTCAGAGTTTGCCAATGAAGCTACTTGGCAACATCAGTACAGAGAAAGGATTTATCAGCTATCATCTATGTTAGAAGCAAACCCAGGAGAAACCTTCAGTATTGCTAATTTCTGATGACCTTATCATAATGCCAGATAGATTTGATGTTCCCATTAAAATGTGAGTTCCTGAAATTATGCTGCTCCTGTGAGATTTGTACCTTCTATTAAGAATGAGTCAGCTTCTAGCCTTGGGTTTCTGGGTAAAAGAGCTGAAAATATCAACGAGCTGCAATACACCAAGCTAGAAATCCGAAAAGAAATAACAGAAAAAAAAAATTCCTAAATTGTTTTTTAAGATTAAATGACATATTTCACCTGAAATTTTGGATAGTTTGACAACTCTGAAATCGTGTTGAACCAAACTTGTTCTTGTGCTGTGACAGTGACACTGCCTTTGGTGTCATGGTGCCCTGATCCTGCAACAAATTAATTAAGGGTTTGGGGTTGAACAAACACAGGACCAATCTTTCTGTTTCATGAAGTAGGACTGAATTTTTTTCCTTGATGTGTGACAGTTTTGTGATATTTAAGCATATGCTGGATTTTTAACCTTAAATACCGTTTATCTCTTTCCCTTCCAAGGAGCATTTTGTATTCAGTGTGTTTTATCTGGTGACTCATATTATCTGCAAATAATCAAGCTGAAATACTAATTGCTTTTGAAGAGGGAATAAAGGATGACATTGTTCTGCATCATCAAAAGCAATTCAATCTGTTCCTCAAGGCAGGAATAAAGGTTGCAGCCTTGTTTACAAAAATGGGGAAGGCAAGGGGCTGCTCTCTTTCAGCTGTGCAGATGGGTGAGGATTTCAGTGTTCAGATTGGGGTTATAGAATGCTCCAGCTCCACTGAGCCTCTTAAAAGTAGCATTTAGTTCAGAGGCAGCAGTCTTCATTCACTCACCCCAAAAGAATCTGGAGGGATTTTATTATTTTATTATAGCTCTGCAAGCTGGGCAGCGTTTGGCACCAGCTGCTTTGTAGAAGATTGCTTCCCTGGGGCTCTTGCAGACTGTGCCCAGGCACCAGGGCTAATGCCCTTCAGTGCCCAGGGGCACAGCCACCCTACAGCCAGTGGTGCTTTCTCAGTGGCCCCAACAGTGGGAGCAGGTCTGTGGATCCAGAACTCTCCAACAACAGGTTTCCTAAAGCTTAGGTTGTGTTTTGAAGGGTCAGCAGACAGTACTGATTTTTCTGTTTCCTAGAAACTGCTGGCTAAGTTAATGAGACTGAAAAACAGCAACAGCCATTTCCAGCCAAAATAACCAGTGGCAGTAATGGTCCCATCTCCAGTCTACTGCATCAGAGCTTCATCAGGAGCACAGCAAAGGACAGGAGAGTTGTTTGAAAAACTGGAATCATAGAATAATTGCTTCTGGTTTGTTGGCAATGCCCAACCCAGACCTCTAGCCTCCCAGGCCCTGGATTTAAGAGCCTGGAAGGAAAGCCATATGAAGAGTGTCTGAAGTCTCTTGGTCTGTTCTGCCTGGAGGAGACTGAGGGGATGAGACCTTGCAGTCTTCAAGTTCCTTGTGAGGAGAAGAGCAGGGGCAGGCACTTATCTCTGCTCTGTGGTGACCGGAGACAGGATCTGAGGGAATGGCCTGAAGCTGTGTCAGAGGAGGTACAGGTTGGATATCAGGAAAAGGTTCTTCACCCAGAGGGTGTGTGGGCACTGGAACAGCTCCCCAGGGAAGTGGTCACAGCACCAGCCTGACAGAGCTCAAGGAGCATTTGGACAATGCTGTCAGGCACATGGTGTGGTTCTTGGGGATGTCTCAGGATCTCCTCTGGTCAAGATGACCCTGAGATGTATTAAAAGTCTCTTTTCCCCAACCCAGCTGTCAAAGAAGCAGTCAGAAGTCTTTGGCTCATGTTCTCAAGGTTGTTTATTATTTATTATCTAAAACATTTTCTGTCTGGCCTGCCGAGGTCTGTTCAGCTCTGTTCAGCAGGTCAGTCTGAGGCACACTGCCCTCCCACAGGGCCAGCATTGTCTTTTATACTATAACCTATGTATTCGATATTTACAGTTATGTTCCAATACCTATCACCTATATGTTAGACGGTGACTTTCTACTTTACACCAATCCCACAGTGCCACCATCACCAAGAAGATGGAGGCTAGGAAAAAGAAGGAAGAACAGGACAATGCCCAAACCCCTCCATCTTGTCTCCTAGACCCCTCTAGTAAAACCCCCAAAATTTTTCTTTCACCCTATAACTACTACTATTATGCTACTTAAACTTTTGTGACTTGTAATTCTTCATATAAAGTTGGTCATTTGCTCCATGGGTTGAGATAGAATTGCCAAGTGTCTTTGGCTTCCTGCCAGGGTCTCCGAGCCCCTACCAGGGCTTTGAGCCATCCAGAGCACCCAGAGGGATGTCCTGGGTTCTGACAGGGATGGTGCTGTGCAGGGCCAGGAGTTGGACTCAATGATCCCTGAAGGTCCCTTCCAAATCAGCATATTCTGTGAATAATGATTTATTGCACTTTACAATACTTACTGCTGGGTTAAAATAACAAATGTACACAATCCTATTGCTTTTGGTTTTGAACAACTTGCTTTTAAAAGATGAGACGCTGATCTAAGGCTTAACTGTTTCTTGAGCAGCCTCTGTTCCACTGATGCTGGAAAGTCATTTTCCAGGCTGTGACACCTGCTGACCCAAAACATCAGGGAATGAAAGCAGACCCAAACATGAAGTGACCTGTGCTTGGTGCCTGTTTGTGCTGCACATACTGACACAGAACCCTGGTGTACAGCGGCCTGGGCTGTGCTCAGACATGCTCCGTGTGCTGATGCCGCACCAGAATGTGGTTGTGTTGGACAAACAACTCGCTGTGCCCCGGACTGGTGCTGCCTTGGGTCTCTGCCTGACCCTGGGTGGTGTGATATGAGTCCTTCAACCCCAGACCGGTTCAAATGCATGCTTGAAATGCAGTTATTTGAGAAGCCAAAGACTTTTTCCCAGCAGGGTTGGGTGCTGTGCCTCCGATGGCACGTGCCTGGAATGGGAGTTGATGACTGGGATCACCAGCATAGCAGATGCCATTGCTGCTGTGGGTGAGGATACAAGATCACGCTTGGGAAAACCTGAGACTTGTTATCTACTGGCCTGGGATTCATCACATGATTGCACAGATGTAGAATGACTGAACCTTTAAGGGACCTGGGGAGGTCATGTGCTCCAACTTCTCACTCAGAGCAGAGCTAATCTCAGCATGAGAGCAGATCACTCAGGATGTATCACCTGAGTTTTGGAAACCTCCAAGGACAAAATATTCACCCCTTCTGGGAAACCTCTTCCAATGTTTTTTGGTTTTTTTTTTTTTTTTTTTTTTCCTAATACCCAATCAGACTTTTCTTTGATGCAACTTTTGTCTTGGCCCATGAAGTTTCTCACCTCATTTGGGATAAAATAATTTGCAAATTGCAGATGAGGAGGAGTGCCCATCTTTTCCCACTGGCGAGACATTGTGCATGCTGCTTTGCTTCTGTTGCCAGTTATCCCGGGTTGCAGACACCTCCTCCAGCTGCCGTGTCCATCAGAGATAACCAACCCTTCCTCAGCTGTGACTGTCCACATGGAAAGCTGGAATAACTTCTGCTGACAAAGCAGGAGAAAACCTACTTTTAGGTAGAGAATGAGAGGCTGGTTGACTTTACCAGCTCCACCTGCAGCTCTCGTGGCCAGGGGCTGCACACTCACACCCAGCCTGTCTGCGGTGTCCACGTGCTTGGCATAGGTGACTATGGAAGAGCTCATCTTCTCTTCAGAATGCAAATTAAGATAGAAATTACAATGTGCATGGTTTTGTTTGCTTGTTTGTTTTTTTTCCACACTGTGTAGCTGCAGTATTTATGTTATTGGAAAGTCATGGGCTCTCATAGCCTGCATCCCAGGACAAAAGGCAAACATGTATGGGGAGCTGGTCGAAGCAGTGCATTTGAGAAATATGGATGAAATAACCCTGAAGCAATTAACTTATTTAGAAATGACAAAAGAGCTAGCAGGTGATTTCTTTGTTCTCTGACAGGGACAATAATATTCCGTCTATAAATAGGCTTTTTAAAAATGCTTTTTAAGTTGAATCCACCAGAATTTTTTCAATTAAATGTTTTTGACAGGAGATAGTGATCAAAATTAAAATAAATCAAAAAAGTGGCCAATTATGCTACAAAAAGGTCATAAATCTGTAGGGGAAAAATATAATAGGAATGCTTTCAATTCATAGGTTGTTCATTTAAAAAATGTGGAATTTCACAGTGATATTTTTAAAGTTATATGTTGTGTAGGGGTTTTTAACATCATGGCTGACATGTCATGAAATCATCATGGCGCATAATAATATCTTATCATTTCTAGCTCAGAGTGTTGCCTGTTTGTTGTAGTGAAACAGTTTGGCACCTGATCAAAGTGTCTCCTGCCTGTCTTGTAAAAAAAATAACGTCAAACTTCCATTACAACACAGACAGGAGACACTTTGATCTAGAAAAGAAAGTATGTTAGTGTTTACTAAGTGGCAGATGGTTTTAATAGTTTTAAAATGAAACAGAATAAAAAAAATAATAAGGTTTTCCCATATAATATGCAGGACAAATGAAATGCCATGAAATCATATGAAGAAAACCTTAAACCAGAGATAAAAAGCAGGAAAGAGCATTTCTTAAGAGAAAATAACCTTTTTTTGGTAAGGGTATTTTCCTTTGTCATTTGCTTTTGACCAGGCTGGGTTTGCCAGGCATTGAGTCTGCCCTGCACTCGCTGCTGGGATGTGGGCATGGAGCTGGCAGGGCTGTGAGGCTGGAAATGCCTGACTTGTTTAAAAAGAGAGATGTGGTTGACCCATGTGACAAGGATGACTTCTGCATTGTTGCCATTGGCTCGTTTAATGTCCAAGGAAAATTCCAGATCAGCAAATATGCCTATGCTTGGCAAATACATTTCTTAAAAATAAAACCCCGAAGAGTCCAATCTGGAGCATTAACTTGAGACAGTTATCTGTGGTACTTGGGGATCTGTTCCAGGAAACAGCGTGCTGAGCTCCATGTCTGACTCCAGCTATTTGGGAACGGGGTGCCAGTGTCACACTCTATGTGTAAACATATAACAATAGCCATTATTATTATTATTATTATTATTATTATTATTATTATTATTATTATTATTATTATTCCAGCATCAAACAGAATCATATTATAGCATCCAGAAATAAATAGACACACAAAATGCTTCCTGGTGAGAGCAGAGGGAAGTTAGACCAGCTTCAGGCTGGCTTACTAACATGGTTTAAATCAGGACAAAGCAAATATCCAAAGGACAAATGTCCTTTTCTGTTGCAGGTCCTTGTAGTTAGGTAGGTTTGTATAAGCCCAGTGAGGATTCCTATTCCCCTCTGATAACTCATCCTGCCCTGCTTTAACTGTTATCCAATAATGTGAAACCTTCACTGCTGATTGTAGGATCATTTAGGTTGGTAAAGCTCATCTAGTCCAACTACAGAGCAACAGCTGAGCTTGCAGCTGCCAGCAGCATGGCTGGCTGGTGCTGGGACATCCCACTGGTGTCCACCACAGGCTCCCAGCTGCACAGGCATCTGCCAAAGGGAAGAGCAGCTGACTGCTGGCCTTCCTGCATCAGGCTGTGGCAAGCCCTCAGAAGACATGAGGTGGCCAGAAATGTGTTTGCATTTGTGCCATCAGAACTGGGAGTGTCCAAGCCCAAGGCACAGCTGTGTTGTCAGGAGATGTGGCAGTGGGGTTTTGGAATGGCTCTGCCTCCTGCCTGTCCCTGAGGGCCTGCCTGAGCCTGCAGTCCTCCTGAGTGCTAAGATGCTGGGCATCTACCTGCCGTACCTGTCTGCAGGATGGAGCCAGCCCAGCTCACAGAGTGTCCTGAAAACTTTTCACCGTGACATTCCTTATATGTGGCTCTGTCGGAAGGTAGCAGCTTTCCACTCTGGTATTCATACCAGACCTCCATATGCCTGTGGAAAGCAAGGCCATGGCACATGAAGGGTTACTGCAGGAGGAAACTCAGGGTAGGGAAAAGACAGATTTCAAGCCTTGAGTCAGCCAAAAAAACTGAAATTGTAGGAAGCTGCACTGAAAAGATGAAAAAAAAATAAAGCAAAGAAAGGGAGATTTGAATGGATCCAAGCCTGCTGTGTGGTATAAAGGAGAAAAACGGTGCCGGCATGAAACTCTTCCAGCTGCTTTCCACAGACCCGGCACAGCAAATTTGTCACAGGAAGTGAAGCAGAGAAAGGGAGTGAAATGGGTCAAGGCAAAGAGGGCACACGGAGGGAGGGATGCTTGCTACCTCGGGCAAGGCCAGAGCACTGAGCTCACCCTGCTTGTGGGCCTGTGACCGGCACTGGATTTTTTGGTGCCCTTGGAGAGGCACAGCAGGGATGTGGATGGGGCTAGATAGGGAAATGTCCCCTGGGACTGGCAAAAGCAACTGTGTCAGCTGTGTCCCCAGCCAGCCAGGGAGAAGAGCGAGCACCGGCTGCTGGGTCTGCCTCCTGCAAGGCCTGTCATCCCTCCCTTCGTGCAACAGGTGAACCAGGGGAACATACACAAAAGAAAAAAAAAAAGAAAAAAAAAAAAAAAAAAGGAAAGCGAGAAGCCACTCAGTGTAGGAGATGAAGTACTTATGAAGAAGATGCCTTTCAGGTGTGACGTGGTGTGTCAAGAGTGTCCACGGGGGAAGGTTACCACTCATGCCTGGTGGGAAGGCATCAGGTCCTGCAATCAGCCAGCCCTGCGAGAGACTGAAATGTTAATGGTTAATGACTCAAAACAATGGCCCATTTGTGGAGGCGGCAGGGTGCTTTGCACCCCCAGAGGGGGAGGAGGTGAGTTTTTGGGTGTGTGATGGCAAACCTCCGGGCTGCATCAGCCAGAGGGGCTGAACAATCACCACCGTGGGCTACAAGCCGGGCTTTGAGGCCGATAAGAGGCAGATCCTGTGAGGTGGGATGGTGCTTTTCATCATGCCAGCTGCCCTCCCTGACATAAATCAGCTGTAAAACTCCCCCCACACCTTCTCCTGGGAAAGGTCCTGAGGGTTTTCATCCCTCCTGATGGGGCATTCCTGGCTCAACTGCGCTGATGTGAGAGGCAGCTGTCATGTCTCAGAAGGTGTCACAAACCATCAAAGACCCCCAAAGTGCCCCCAGACCCATTTCTAAGGCCTTTCTCCAGAGGACTGAAAACTCAAGCCCAGGGGAGGTGCCTGGAGTCTGAGTGTATTTGAACCCTTCGGACTTGGTGTTTGACGGGCTTTTTTCCCCACCCTGAACAGATCAAGACTGTGATCATCACTTTGACCCAGGGACACTAAATGGCAACAATCGAGTCTTGCCGCGAGATCCATGGGTGGTGATATGTTTCTACTCTTACCGTTTCTTTCTGTTTCTTTTCCCTTGCACATTTTTGAGTGATATTTTTATGTTTTCATGTTGACATATTGCTGTAGATAACAGTAAGCAAAACGGCTACATGCCTGCTTTCCTTTGCAACCAAATTGTTCTAAAATAAACCCTACCTATATACATATCTTTACAAACACTGATCATCCAATGTCCTTTCACTCTAATCCACCCCAAGGGATCTGTTAACAAGAACCTGGGTTGCCCTCACATTTGGGGCTGGGCGTGACAAACCCCTGCTTGGATGGGACCCTGGGGCTGTGAGCCCAACTCCGGGGGGATGGGATGGAATGGAATGGGATGGGATGTTACCAGTGAAGAGGATGTTAGATGACATGATACGGTGATGTGGAAAAAAGCACTGGGAAGAGAATTGATGGCTGGTCCCATAGGAAAAGAAAGATACAAGAAAGTTGGAGAGGAATATTTTACAAGGAAAGGTAGTGATAGGACAAAGGGCGGAGGCTTCAAACTGAAAGAGGGTGGGTTTATTTTAGGTATTAGGAAGAAATTATCTTCTTTGAGGGTGGTGAGGCACTGACACGGCTTGCTCAGAGAAACTGTGGATGCCCCATCCCTGAAAGTGTTCCAGGCCAGGCTGGATGGAGCTCTGAGCAGCCTGATCTAGTGAAAGGTGTCCCTGCCCACGGCAGGGAGTTTGGAAGGAGGTGATCTTTAAAAGCCCCTTCCAACCCCAACCACACTAACATTCTATGAAAAAGGGTTTATGGGTAAAAGCCACGAGGTTAATGAATCTGTAGCAGCCAACCTGAGATGCAGTGTGTGCTTTTCACCTTTGGTATTTAGAAAAGGCCTATAAGAACCATGCTAATACATAAAAGATACAGGCCTGTGCATATAACCTCTGGTGTCACTTAGGGTTCAGCCTGGGAAGAAGTGAGCAGGAAGAGGTTGGAAAGAGCTTTCAGTGGCATATACCAACAGAAACAAAAGCAAGCTGTTGACCTGCTCTTGAAGGTGGCAGGTTAGTAGCAATGGCCTGAAGCTGAAGGAGGAGCAGGGTTCAGGTTAGACGTTGGGATAAGGGCTGAGCAGTGAGAAGTCACTCAGTGGGGTGAAGCTTCCTGGACTTACACAGATCTTGGCAAGTGATTCTGAAATGGCTTCTGCCAGCAGGAAATGTTTGCCTAAACAGCTCCCCTGGCCACCTTATTAAAGTTGGAGTTTCCGAGAGACAGCACTAAACCTATGTCATTATCAGTGCTGTCTTTTCAAGTTGGGTCTTTAGGTAATGACACTAATTCTGTTTCTCAGGCAAAATTTCCATGTGATTTGCTGGAGGGTGTGCACAAAAAATGAATGTCCCTCAGAGTTTGATACTACAAATGTTTTTGCTCAGAAATCAGTCTTTTGATTGAGGAGGTCATTTCATGCTAGAAAAATTGTGTTGTCTCTGAAATCCAGCCATGAGCTTAGGCAGAGGATGCTATCTAGTCAGATGTGAGCTGTTGACTTGGCCTCCACCAGAACATGCTTGAGCTCCTGTGCTCACTGCTTTCTCCACTGCCTCCTCCACTGCCTCCTCCTCCTCCTTGGCATCCCAGGTGCTCCAGGTGCTCCATGGCAGACTTTGTTTTCCTACAGGGCTGGTTCAGTGTGATGATAATGCGGGAAGAGAGCAAAAGAGGCAGCTTTGTGCTGTCTGCCCAAGGATCCTTGAAAGGGCTGGGCACCTCGTTGTGACATGGAGCAATAGTTTGGAGATAATGATAACTTAAGACATACATCTAAGAAGCTGTTTATAATGTTTTCTTAAATATTTTCCCTCTTAGCTAAAGGTCACAAGGTCAAAAAGCCACAGCAGTCCAAGTATGGCTGTTCTTAAGCACCAATCCCAGCTTGGCTTGGCTTTGCTGAGCCCTTGCAAGGAGATAGCCTTACACAGTGATTTGTAACAGCACACTTGTGTATAAACATGTTGAGATACATCCAGCGTGATCACTGGAACATGTAAAACATGCCTTTGAAAGCAATTCAAGGTTTGTGGAAGCTTGAGTGGGTTGGAAAGGTCTCTAGGTACCAGCAGAGCACAGCACAGCTCAGGGACCAGATGTTCCAGTCCCCTGTACCCCACATCCCTGCCTGAAAAGGTGGCCCAGTTCATCCCTATTAGAAGTCTCTAACGAGCTTATAACCTAAAACTATAAATATAGGAGCAGATTTTGTCACCAGAGTTCAACCCAAAAGTCTTCCCTTGAGAATGATTAAAGCTATTGCAGATGGCAGCAGTGACATTCGCTGCCCTCCCAACACCAGATAACAACCCTCAGGAGAACAGCCCAACAAACCCCCTGCACTGCTGCCCAGGATCCCAAGTACTGAGCAAACTCCCACCAGCTTTCATGTCCAGACATGTTTTCTGTCAAGACTTAGTAGCCATTAAATACTGAACGCTGAAAGTTTGGGGAGGAAAGGTAGCAAATCAAACTTTATTGCTATTTCCAGAGCTGCTTCCTAAGGCACAAACACAAGTTTCAGGGGGAACCATGTCAGACTGGTGACTACTTTCCATTTTCCTGCTTTCCCTCACTGCCCACCCTTTGGAAGTATGTTCCTGCCTGGTCTGGAGACAAAAAAAGCCAGAGAGCCAGCAGCTGGATCCTACAGGGACTTCTCCTGTGGCTTCAAAAATATGGGTGGGGAGAGGGGAAAAAGGAGTTTTCGGTTGTTACTGCTTTGCTCTTTTGCTCTGCTTGCTCATGTAAAAACAGATGCAGAAAGACAAGATAAGGAACTCTGTGGTTTCATCTTGTAACCTCAAACAGCAAACACTCCTCAAAAACAGTTTACTATGTGGTCACATTGCTTCGAAGAAAGGATAAGAAGCCCAACTGAAAAAAACACAATATAGTAATTGAAAAATAAAGCTATAAATAAAATAGAACATGCCCTGAGATTTGAAAGCCTCAACAACTCAATAGCATCTCTCTCTCAGGAGGTTTCTTCTTCTTTTTCTCTTGTAGAGAGATGCTTCAGTTGCTATTGATACAGGCACCTCCTCCCAAAAACTGGCTAAATAGTTTACCCACCCCCCCACCCCTCCAAGTCCCATTAAAATAGATGCTTTTCAGCATGTGCCAGGAATAGCCTTATGTGAAATATGCTAAGATGTTGCAACTTTATTTGGTTTATTTTCTATTTGGTTTATTTTGAGTGAGTACGATGAAGCGGCATAAGGCAGGGCTCTGAGGCTGGGGACAAATGTGAAAAGGAGAAGTTAATTAATTTATAGTAATTTTGAACTGCTGAGTTTCGTTTTCATGTGTACTGCTAGGATGGCACTACAGAACAGGTTGAAGATTTAAAAGAAAAAAACCAAACCAAAAAACATTAAATACCAATATGTTAACTATAGCACTTGCCGCTTCACAGAAAAGACAGATGTTCTCTAAATGCAGATGTTGCCAGTTCTGAAATAACAGCTGGCATATACTGATAATTACTAATTGGACTCATCCAGTCAGTAGAGCTTAACAGTGACAGAGTAAAGGCAGAGTAACAGGCTGACTCCTTTCCCCAGCTCCAGAGAGTATCTGAATTTCTACTTTGGCTTCCCTTTCTTCTTCCTTTTCCTTGCCTTTCAATTTCAGCCTTCCAAGGGCCTCTGTTTCCTGTCCCCCCGCCCTGGGTACCCATCCCATGGATGCAGGTCCTGCGGCAGCTGCCAAAGCCACCCCGTCCCCAAGGCAGAGCAGGGAAGGAGGTTGAGAGCGATCAACCTGAGGGGTGTCACCCACACTGGTCCCCCTCCCACTGAGGGCAACGTGTCTGCCTGATGCCAAGCATGGAAATTGAGCTTCAAACACAATGTTGGTGCAGGGAATGTAAAGTCCCACTAACCAGCACAAGGCAACTCAGCAGGAACATCACCTTAACCCCAAGGGGTGAGACCTGGGGCTGCGTGGGGCTGTGGGCAGAGGAGACACAGGGGCAGCAATGGAGAATCCCACGCTGTTTATGCTGTGAGTGGTAGCTCCTGCTGTTAGTCGTGGGCACTTTGAGCTAAAATGCTGCCTCACACATCAATGAGCAGCAGAAGCGAAAGAGAAAAACAGACTGACTTGATTTAAAGTAAACATGAGAAAAACAAATCCACCCAAACCCTCACGCCGTGTTATCAGAAAGGTACCAGGCTGCAGGAATGCTGTGGGTTAAATTAGCTTGTAATAGCTGATTTTGAGTTGCATTTTTTTGTAAGAAAAGCAAATCAACAAATTTTTCCTAAGGACTGGAAAATGCCAAGAGCTGTAACATACTTCTTTTAAAGTTCGTCTTCAGAGATGTGAGGACAATTCAACAGTAAAGCTGGATTGTGGCCAGACATATCTGAGGAAGAGTCCCATTTACCATGGTGCAGTGGGTGATTCTGCCTGGCCACACAAAAATTCTGGCTGTGGGTCTCCCTCCACCCCCTTGGGACACCAGAATATCTCCTTCTTGCCTTTCTGGGGAAAACTTCACCACTAGGATGCAGGGAAGGGAAAGGAGCACATCCATGCACTTTCCACCTATCTCCTTTTCTTGATGGGTTTAGACCAAGGAAGAACAGTAAATTAGTTCTGAGTCGAGACACACAAGGCTGAAATTAAAAGTTCTCCTCCATAAGCCAGGTTTTGGCTGTTGGCAGCTTTGGCAGCCCAAGTGCCGGTGAGCTGGTGGGCCTTTGTGGCTGGATGGGCTCTCAGCCCAAGGAGCGGGGCCAGAGCTGAGCCTGGGCACAGCTGCCACAGCCACAGGGGAGATTTTGGATCCCTTGGGCCACAAAGCCTCCCTTCTCCTGAGCCATCTGTGTATAGAGACAGACGCACACATTCACACGGGTTTGTTTTTCTTGCAGGGTGTGGCTTGACACTTCCTCTACTGGTTTCACTGGTCAGAGATACACTTTGCAATGAACAGGCAGGAGGTTTTCCTCCCTTTTGAAGAGGAAGTCTGGGAAAAAGAAGCCCTGCCTTCTCCAGGCCCCAGGGGAGCATACTTGAGTGACCCTCAGAGAGTCCCCTAATGCCCCCCACCACCCCCACACCACCTCAGCATCTCCTTTCCAGGGCTGGGCTACCTTTCCTCCCTGGTGCGTGGGGGTTTCACTCTGCTTCACACTTGCCTTCCAGATCCACGGTTTGGCTACCATTGCTTTCTTATTTCATATCTATATTAATTAATTGTAAGGATGTATACAAATACATGCATATATTTTTGTTACCTCTGTGTGTTGGGTATAATTCTGTCACACAGTTCTCTCTTTTCCATGGAGGGCTGGTGCAGAAGGGGCTGCTGGTGCTCATTTCTCTGGCCCTTGAAGTGTGCACATCTCCCTGAGTCCCCTTGCCCACCACAGGCTGTGGCACTGGAACACATGGGGGGCCCCATGGGAGGTGAGAACACTTGTCTAGAGAAGCCTAGCGGGTCCCCTCAATGCCCAGTGTGTCCCCACTCTGTGACCCCCATTCCTGCTGCCACCTGTGTCATGCTGTGCCTGGACCCCAAATCCCTATGTCTCCCCCATGTTTCCACATGCTCTCCCATATGTCTCACTACT